GTTATCGTCATCATCATCATCATCATCATCGTCATCGTCCTCGTCCTCGTCATGATATCTCATCATATTCATAATTGTCGCTATCAAACGGAAACGCCCCAAACATGACAACCCTGTTCCCCTGTTCCTCCTCCTCCTCCTCATCATCATCATCATCAGCAGCATCAGCATCATCGTCATCACCAACATCATTAGCAGCATTATCATCATCAGCATCATCATCATCATCAGCAGCATCATCATCATCGTCGTCGTCGTCGCCGTCATCGTCAACGTCACCATCGTCACCACCATCATCGTCGTCATCATCGCAATCACCACCTGATCGTAATCCTCATCATCAAATCATCAGCAGTGGCATCATCAGAATCGGTATCATCATCATCAGCACCATCAGCATCATCATCATCATCATCGACATCATCAGCATCATCATCATCATCGTCGTCAACATCATCATCATAATTGCATCATGCTGTTCATCTCATCATCATCATCATCAGCATCATCATCATCATCATCATCAGTATCATCATCTGCATGATCACCATCATCATGATCATCATCATCAGCATCATCATGATCATCATCATCATCATAACAATCATCATCACCACCACCACCATCATCATCATCAGCATCATCAGAATCATCATCATCATCATCATCATCATCATTAGCAGCACCACCCGCATCATATCATCATCATGCGCATCAGAATCGTTATCGTCATCGTCATTGTAAGCGTCATCATCATCGTCATCATCGTCAACATCACCATCAGCAACATCAACATCATGAACGTTATCATAATGCTGGTCATCATCATCAGCATCATCAATATCGCCATCATCATGATCATCAGCATCGTCATCATCACCAACTTCATAATCATGCTGGTCAGAATCATCAGCATCATCACCATCACCACAAACATCATCATAATCATCATCATCCGAATCATCATCGTCATCGTCCTCATTATCATCATCATCATCAGCATCATCATTAGCATCATCATGATAATCATCGTTGGTCTAATCATCAATACCGTCATTACCACCATCATCATCATCATCATCATCATCGTCGTCGTCGTCGTCGTCATCGTCATCGTCGTCACCATACTCATCATCATCTTCATGATCATCGTCCCCGTCATCGTCATCGTACACATCGTCCTCAGAATCACCATCCCCTTTCCATTACCATCACCACCGTCAGCATTATCATCAACATAACAGTCATAATCATCATCATCATCATTAGCATCATCATCACCCATTATCATCACCATCACCATCGCCAGAATCAGCATCATCAGCATCATCATCACAATCACCACCATCGCCACCATCACCACCACTACCATCATCCTCATTGTCACACTCATCACCATCATCATGGTAGTCATCACTGACTCCCAGCCCCCTCGGCCCTCCGCAGGGCCAGCTGACCCCAAGTCGTCGGAAGCATGGGTCGACTGACTAGGGATCTGGACACCCTGGCTCTCCCATGTTTGCTGCTGCTGGTCCTCCGGGTGGAAAGGGCCATGGGAGCAGGAGAGAAGGGAGGCATGGCCCAGGAGAAAGAAACGAGAGGCGGCGGAGGAGGAACTGCACCAGGAGGAAGCGGCGGAGGAGGCACTGCACCATTGGACTGATTATGGCGGAACTCTGGTCGCTGCGGGAGTCTGTCGCGCGGCAATGTGCACCCATTCGGCTATATTGAGCGCTCGCGCGCTTGTACGCGAACATTACGGAACGCATCGGCGCGCTCTCAGGCCACCTTGAGGCTGTCCTCGGCCGCGGTGAGCCCCCTGTGGGGCCGTCGTGGGCAACTCGGGGGTGCGGAAAACCAGCCACCGTGCCCAATAGCACGTTGAGGCGTGGAAGAATGCCAAGGTCTGTCTCGTAGGTTTTTTGATTCTAAGAAGGGGCCAACCCTCCCTCTACCAGTGGACTCTTGCGTGCATGCCCTCAACTCACCGAGGCAACTTCCCTTGTGCCCGTTCGAGAATGGTGCACTTACCGCATGGCAGGGAATGCCTAATCCCCCATTCCACGCGTGCCCGCTCGAGGATGGTGCACGTCCCGCATGGCAGCTTTAACGCCTGAGCCCCCTCCACGCGTGCCCGCTCAAGGACGGTGCACTTCCCGCATGGCACTTGATGCATGAAGCCGCTTTCCACGCGTGCCCGCTCGGGGGTGGTCACTTACCGCATGTCAGCTGATGTCGGAACCCTCATTTCACGCGCACACGCTCGAGAATCGCGCACTTCCCGCATGGCTGCTACCTGTTAGACCCTTCATCCCACGCGCACCCGCTTGAGAATCGTGCACGTCCCGCAGTCACGGGCGCTGCTCCCAAGCGCCCCAGGGCTTCAAAAGCCACGAGACCTTGTGAAGAACGATGGGCATGCATCCTGAGTTTCCAAGGCTTCCACGGACCCCAAGATGGGCCAAGCTGCCTCGAAGACGGCCGAAGATGACACCAAGGCGGGGGAATAGTGCTTCAAGACGGCCCAAGATGCCTCCCAAAGGGCCCAGAAGCGCCACAAGGGGAACTCCAACAGGGTTCGAAAAAGCCAAACCGTTAAATTCATGTAGGTGGTTGAATGAGTTTCGCGTTCTCGCCTTTTCGGTCTGTCGACAGATCAACGCAGCCCACGAAGGCCCTCCGACGGGCGAGTACGGCGCCAAGACGGCCCCACGACAGTCCCCCGACGCCCACCATACGGCCAAGAGGGCCCCAAGCTGGCACATGAAGGCCCCAGAACGGCCCAAGAGGGCCCCAAGGAACTCCGAAGGCTGCCTCGGAGGAGGCCAAAACAGCCCTAAGACGGTCCATATGAGTTTCAGCATCCATAATCAGCAACGGCATCATCATCATCGTCATCATCATCCTCATCCTCATCATCATCATCATCATCATCATCACCATCATCATCATCATCTGCACCATCGTCACGATCATCACAATCAGCATCATCATCAAATGTAGCCACATCGTCCTCATCACCACAACCATCATACGCGCCCCCATCAGTATCACCAGCATCATCAGAATCACCGCCGTGCAAATCAGCGTTGACACCATCGCCATCACCATCACAATCAACAGCGATGTCATCAGAAGCATCAACACCATCATCCCAATCATCATACGAATCAGCGAAAGCATCGTCAACACCAGCATAGTCCTTTCCATCGTGCGCCTCAGCATCGCCAGTTCATGTTCACCCTCATCATCATAATCAGTAACAACGTCGTCACCATCAACATAAAGAAAAGCAGGACCATCAAATTAGCCCACGTCATCGCCACCTTCATCGTCATCGTCGTCATCGTCATCCTCGTAAGCATCAGCAGCGCCCTCCTCATCATCATCAGCCGCATCACCATGATCATTGGCATCGCCATGATCAGCATCAGCACCACCATCGTCATCATCACCGACATCAAAAACAGCACCTGCGTCGCCAGCACCAACAATATCATGCCGTCATCACCACCCGCATCAGTATCATCCACACCACCACAACCATTATCATCGTCATCAGCATTATCGGCAATACCAAAATCGTCGCCGTCATCATCCGCATGCGTCCAGAAGCCGACTAGCGGCGCAGTCCGAAGCGCGTGACTGGGCGCCAACGGAAAGCCGTCAACCTGGGCATCGCTGGGGGCCTCGTAGAGACCCCAGCCACTTGCCATGGTCGTCGTCGCAAGAAAAAAACAATCGATCGCATAAACGTTCTCCGAATACAACTCGAGTGACAAACGGAGACCAGGTCCCCCGACTCCAGATCGAAACGATTCCTGTCATGGACTTGTGACGGGCGGGAAACTTGCAGCTGCCATAACCCTAAGACTGAAGAACGAGACCGTTCGAAACAGCAGATCAAGTGCAGGTTCATGTAAGTGTGTCGAGTATAGCTCGCGTGGAATACCGATGCTAGGTCTTTCGAGGCTGCAGATCAAAGCTTCCGATTATGCTGAATCGCGACGTGCAGTCACAAGATATGTAGCTGCCCATCTGAGGAGAAGAAAGATATAATCACCAAGACCGTTGTGTGTGCGGTAACGACGCCAACTCTCCGAAGTGTTTTGGTTGCACTACTGCAGCTACAGATCTGAAACAAAAGCAGAAAAACGCCTCAAAGAACTACAGCTGCGAAAGATCAAAATAAAGGATAAGAATTGTCAAACCTGCCGCAATAACTAAAAGCACTACCTAAAATTACAACACGGGGCGCCGTCGGTAGACCGTCATCTTGGACTCTGCGTTTGCGCCCGGCAGACAGGCCAGGTCTCCGCCCCGCTGGATCGCGTAAGACGACAGGGACCCAACGTGTCTGACCGCCTGCGGCAGGCCACAGGCACGCCAAACGCATCCCAGCACTCTCATGCACCAGCGATGAAAGTGGCGATGGTGATGGAGGAGCCTCTCGAGTGATTCAAAGCGCTCCTCAGCGGCAGACAACTCCCTATGAGTCACGGAGCTCGAAGGATCTACTACGAAGGCGGCAGTGCAAACGTCACGGAACATAGCCTCGGTTGAACCGCGATTGTGAAGGCGACTCCCCAAAGGACCTGTCACCGAGGCCGACCTGGATCCAATAGCCACAACCGACACGACCCGCCGAAACACCACAATCGAAACAAACCCGATAGCAGCACGGCCTACGTAGTAAAAAATCATGAGCATCCAGTGGCCATACTTCACTGTTGATACGACTGCCCTCGCGAGCTCGCTTTTTTTCTTTGCGCAGAGCCACAGGCCTGAGCCCAGGCCCGCTCGGGTCACAGCCACGCGCGAGGGGGGGCAGCGAAGCCCAGGGCTCCCAGCACCGCCGAGACACCCTGAAGCAGGTGCTTTGCAGCAAAAAGATCGGCGTGAGTTATCGCACAGGCAGGCGGCAGAGAAAAGGCTTCAGAGGCGGCATCACACCACCAGTAGGAGGCAGGTGGGCTAACAGAAAGACATTGGAGGTGAGGAGGAAGTGAAGGTTGCACAAACAAATCAAGAAACCAGCCTCCGCCACAGCCTTCCGAACTGCGGCCACCGTGAAAGTAACCGCAAATTCCTCGGATGGTCTCACTTGCCGTAGTATAGAAACGTGGGTCCAATGCGTAGTGACTCTAGCCCCCGCGGGCTAGCCATGTCTGATTATCAGCTCGCGTGTTACCTTCGCGATAAAACGATGTAACAATATCACAACCGTGGGATGGGCCTCTCAAGCGCACCGGCGTGGGTATAGACAATTCGCACAATACGTTCTGAATCGCAGCAATCGTCGTCGCATACCCATCCGACATACACTGAAAAATCCGTTAATCCACTTGCACGCCACCAATGAGTCCCGAGGATCTCCAGAAGCATCCCAGGGGCAGCGTGGTTCCAAGATGTCTGATGGTCGTTTTTCTATTGCGGTCGCTTTGATATCCTCTCCCCCTCCACCTCCTTGCTACGCTTCCTGAGTTCCTCGGTCACATCCTCCTTCACCTCACTCCGAGGTCTTTGGGACCCTGCAATATAAAGTACTCAGGGATATGACTAAGCTCCCAGAAACCCAGGACAGTCCTCGCAAAATGCCCCCATGCATACCCATCCCACATATACGCCCCTCCCACAGATTCAAACGGCAGGGCCCACGGTCTGCACCCACCTGCCGATCCTCCCTCACAACGCCGAGTGAGAGCTCTGGCCTCTCTAGTCGGCAGCGCACGGACGAACGTATCCATCCCATCCGTCCAAGGCAAAGCCGCATGTAATATAGTTAGCCGTGCCTAGGTGCGCGGGTGGTTGCACTCAGGTCCCAGATCCCTGCGTACGCGCTGGCGTTTGCAAGCACGATTACGTGGGGTATCCTGCAAGGGTCCATTGGGGTCCCCAGGGATCGTCGTCGCGGGTTGGACCCGCTGTCGTTTCTGAGCCCGCTCACGCATCTGTCGGATCAGCTGTCGTTCGTTAAGGCCTGAAGCAGGTGCCGACTGAGACCCAGACCCAGGCACGCCCGAATTCGCACACACAGAGACCGTAGCCTGCACCTATTGGGATGCATCCATATGCGGCTGCGCCGTGGCGGTGGTCGGCACGTTTTGAAAACAACGCTGCGCCGCTGTACAAACATCCTTGGCCAAGGACTACTGGCGAAACAGGAAAAGCTGGGGCAAGGACGGCACGCCCGCCGCCTTCAGTGCAGCACGCGCCTGACGATACAATATGCGCATGAAGGTGGTCCAGTCCTCCTCTGGACCCTCGCGTTTCCTCATCATCTAAGCTAGCAGGTTTCCTCCACATCTGCGCAACGCCCCCAAGCTACTCTCATCCGCGGTCATACCCTCAACACCGAGGAGGATCTTGCTTCGCACTCTGCAGCCGTACCGTCGCAAGCGCCGGATGATAGGAGTACCGCGGCAGCAAAAGCATCGATTGTCCGACAAGAGTACCACCTCCCCGCACTTGATCCGATGTTCCACATCAAAATGCGTCTTCATCTCACCGTGAATGACAGCCCCCTAATGGTAATCTGAGGAACCTGCTGCAGTGAAACCAAAGTAGAGCACACCTCGTCGACCCGTCGGCGCTTCACCTGATCCGATAGTGCATCGAGAGGCACCCTGAATGTCACCTCCAGGGGGGCCGACATCGGCATCTGAAACCCGACAAAGAAATACTGCAACGACCTCGGTTTCCAAGAATAACACCGCGAATACAACGCAACAGACATGTCATGAATCATGGCACGTAACCGTTCAATACTCATGGAGCCGAGGATGACGTTGTACGCCCACAGCGCGTGGGAGAACGTCCTGTACCCCGTCTGCGCAGTCAGTGGAATACCGACCCCCTCACGATACCAAGACTGACACAAGTCGCCAAACCGAACTATAAATTCACATATCCAACCCAAAGGGGCCTCAACACTGCCAGCACGCACACATCTGTCCCAGGGCGCACCACACACCTCAACGCCCTGAAAATGAAAATCCGCCTTGCAGTTTGCCTGCGCCTCCAGCATGGCGTAGGCAAGCCCTGGTGGAAAGTTCAGCCGATCCATGGGCTTCGACAGATTAGCCACAGTCAGACGTTCAAAAGCACGCAGGAAATCAAGTACAGGCGCAGTGAGACTTACCTAACACGGTACTATGCTGAGGCACCCTCTTCACAATGGGCGTGACCTCGTCGACCTTGCGTTCACCACAGAATCCGAAGAGCATGCAACCAGAGCGGCAGCTCGATCTCAAGCGCAGGGCCCCGAGGATAGTAAGTATAGACATATACCACTTGGATGCGCCAACCAACAGACTGAGGGCACGAATCTCTGAAAAGTTGGATTCCCCTGCATGCTTGGGCACGAGGGAAATACACATGGAGCGACACACCAGTGGCGGACAAGACCTGCGCATAAACAGCTGCTGAAACGCACGGAGGACAGCGCAGACGCCGCCCCACGGTACGCAACGCAGCATGACAATTCTGACCCCATCCCGCCCCCCCACCGCCTTCCCCATCTTCAACCGTGAGCGAGCCCCCACGAGAGAACACCCATGGTGATAGGGCAGACTGGGCACTGTGGGGCACTGTCGAGACGTCTCCCCCTCTCCTCCAACATCACAGTGGTGGCCTCCCTCCCCCCCTCACAACTGCAGCGACGCAGTCCGTGTCTTCGCAGCTCCCCCTCCCACCGTTCCCCGTCACAAGTATTCACGCCGTCCAAGTGTAACGACGCAATGCGCGTCCTGGGTCGAGCCCCTGGTCGGAAGTGATGATCAGTCATGCGCCTCCGGTTCAACCTCCTCTCGTTCTGCTTCCGTTCGCGGGCAATCTTCATCTCCTGCTCCCGTTGGCGGGCAAACTCCATCTCCTCCACCGTACACCTCCCCTCCTTGAACATTCTCCTCACCACCGCCCACCTCGCACGTGCATCAATGTACTCCTTCCGTACTTTGGGCAGTGCATCCTGGAACCTGGGGGCGTGACCATGTTTCTCAGCAGCATGCACATCAACATCACCGATCTCACCCGGGGCCCAGACAGACCGCCCCTCACATAGGGCGACGTCGAGAGCTGAACGGAGCACAGGCAACGCAGCTTCCTCGCAGCGCCAGCGGGTGTTGTTGCGAGCACGTCAGCCCCCAACTCTCCGTGGGCGCACACCCTGCGGAAACGGCATCGTTACCGCCGCATGGTCACTCCAGAAGGTCTCCACACATCCGCCCCCCTCCCTCCCATTGGATTCTCTCGGAGTGATCCATCGCAATGTCGTAGGCGATGTCCAATCACGAGGCACACGCACATAGTCATAAACAGGTTGGTAACGATCGTGTTCGAAGATGAATTAGGGGCTCCTCCAGGTGGGTCTCCTTGGGCCCTCGAAAGAGCTTGCCATCTTAACCCCAAGAGCCCAATCGTCGTCGTCAACGCCTCCGAAAAGTATTAACTGAACTCGTGAGCCATCTTATCAAAACCGCTAGTGGACCTACGTGGGGCCTGAGAGACACTATGCCCAAATCGGCCCGTGAGAGGCCAGTCATCGCACATGATCCCCCCTTTCACCTCCACCTGGCCGCCAACCCCAAGTACCACATCACGCATCCCGAAGTCTGTTCTCAGTCGCTGTAGTGTCACCGCGACATCTCTGAGCACCTGTTGGTACTCAAACAGAGCAAGCAGGAAGTGCTCGTGCCTCTTACCGTGCAAATACTTGTGGGGCAAATACACACTCACTGCAATGAACTGATTGAAGCCTACTGCGCACCAACGTTCCTTCGCAACGACAGCGTGAAACTGACAACCCCAACTCAACCTGTGAATGATACATGCACGTCTGCACTCAGAGATCACAATACGCCACGATTGACCAAAGGAACCCCCGTCGATGTATTCAGCCCCATGAAGAAGCACAATCTCAACTCCTGAATTAGCCTACTCATCCGTCTAGACATCCCGGCAAAAGTTCTTCCCCAACCTTCGACAATTCCAAATCACGAATTCGCACCGTCGTTGCCACGGTCGGGGCATCGTCACTCAAGCAAGGCAGCCATGAACTTCGCGACCCTGCAGGCTGGATCCACACGAAGCAGAGCAGCTTCGTCCAAGCTCCATGGATTGGATCGCGCAGAGGAGTAGCTGGCAACACGCGCCCGTCCTTGAATTCATTTGTCGGGTAGGCCCATATGAACGTACATGGGGGCCAATACGTCTCCACCTTAGCACGACGGCCCCCGAGCTGCAAGAAGCGGTAGAAACTGGCCTTGAACCGTCCTGCTGCCGACACATGTGGTTGTGTCCATGGCGAACACTCAACTAAGATCGAGATGCGGCAATGGACCACACGTGCAAACTCCATGTTGTCAGCATCCGTCGCGAAAACCTTACCGTCGGAGAAACACTGGCCCCGCCTCTTACGACAATCCCAGAGCACGCCCCGTGGAGTGTTGGGCTTGAAATACACGCGCATACGCTACAGTCCACACGGCTTGTTAGTATTGTTCTGATTCGTGCGAGCCTCGTCAATATGTTGGAGACACTGGGAAACGTCAAACCGGCACACGAGGCAGCGCTGTCCTGTCGCCTCTGAAAGCAGGTTCTCACTCCTAGCGTCCAAGTCCCCGCTCGCCCCCTTCACCCAGCCCTGGGCCGCATTAAAGCTGGAGGAGCAAAATCAGGCCGGCGATGCGCACCGTAGTCACCACGGCCCCCCTGCATAAAGGCGCTCAGGGCCTCCGTCGAAGTAGTCCCAACCGAACCTGGGCCTTTGGACTTGATATGGGCCTGCATCAATCTGACTCTCTTGTGAACCTGGGCTGCTTTCAGGCTGCAAATCTCCTTTGTGTTTCACTCGACGGACTGCTGAACAGGCTGCAACTACAAATCTGTAGTAGGTTATGCCGCGTCTGCCAGTGGTACTCCCAGGTCCATATCTGCAGCATTACTACGAAGGCCCCAGCAGTAATCTGGTTCACGGTTTACCGCCGGCCCCCCCTACCTCGTAGAGCTCTTCGGCATCGATGGGCTAGAGGAACTCCCGGCTGGAGCTAGTTGGCCGACCCGGCCCGGGCGGACAATGCGGTGGCCTGGGGTCAAAACCCTTTAGGAAGATTGAGAGATTTGAAATTCCGTTGTTCCCCATATCCTAAGATGGGGTTCTTGTTATTATTTGGACGCCTGCTACTCCTCCTTCTCCTCCCTCCTCCTCTTTTCTCCTCCCCTCCTGTCGGACTTATTCATACTCACACTTGCTCATACTCAGACTTACTCATACACAGACTTACTCATACTCAGATTTACTCATACTCAGACCTACTCATACTCAGACTTACTCACACTCAGACATACTCATACACAGACTTACTCATACACAGACTTACTCACACCCAGACGTACTCATACACAGACTCACTCATACCCACGACTTACTCATACACAGTACTAGTCGTACTCAGACTTACTCATACCTACTCTTACCCAGACGTACACATACACAGACTTTCTCATACACAGACCTACTCATACCCAGACTTACTCATACACAGACTTACTCATACACAGACATACTCATACTCAGCACCCCTAAGCGGAGCCGCCAGGGGTGGTTGCACGGGCTCGTTCGCGGCCATTTTGTGGGGATGTCTCAGGCGGTTTGCCTGTTTCTGGGCCCAACATCCTTCGCTTGGAGAGCAGATTGTGAGGATGTCTCAGGCGGGGCGCTGGTTTCAGCACCCCTAAGGGGAGCCGCCAGGGGTGGTTGCACGGGCTCGTTCGCGGCCATTTTGTGGGGATGTCTCAGGCGGTTTGCCTGTTTCTGGGCCCAACATCCTTCGCTTTCGGAGCAGATTTGGAGGATGTCTCGAGCGAGGCGCTCATTTCAGCACCCCTAAGGGGAGCCGCCAGGGGTGGTTGCACGGGCTCGTTCGCGGCCATTTTGTGGGGATGTCTCAGGCGGTTTGCTTGTTTCTGGGCCCAACATCCTTCGCTTTCGGAGCAGATTTGGAGGATGTCTCGAGCGAGGCGCTCATTTTCACCCCCCAGGTGGGCCAGATTTTGAGGATGTCTCGATCGGTTTGCTTGTTTTGGTGGCCAGGCTCGTGGGCGCAGATTCTTCTCAGGATGCCACAGGAGGCTCCAACAGGCTCCAGGAGGCCCCAGGAGACCACATGAGGTCCCAGGAGGCATCAGGAGGCCACAGAAAGACTCAAGAGGCCACAGGATGTCCCAAGAGGCTCCAGGAGGCCCCAGGAAGCTCCAGAAGGCCTCAGGAAACCACAGGAGGCCCCAGGAGGCAACAGGAAGCGCCAGGAGGCCTCGGAAGGCAACAGGAGGCCCCGAGAGGCCCCAGGAGCAGGAGGCCTCAGAAGGCAACAGGAGTGGCTCCAATCCCATGTGTTTTACGTATGCTCCTATCGATTGGGCCTCACCTGGAGCACGATTCTTTGATGTTCTACGTATGTTTCTATAGATGGTCCTTCTCCTGTGTACACAATCCTAAATGTTTTACTCATGTTCCTATGTATTGGGCCTCTCCTGGGGCACGAGTCCTTGGTGTTTTACGCGTGTTCCTATAGATTGCCCTTCTCCTGTGGCTCTAATCCGCAATGTTTTATGTACGTCTGTTGCTATAGATTGCGCCTCTCCTGGGGCACGAAACCTTCCTAGGAAGTCCCAGGAGGTCCCAAGAGGCTCCTGGAGACCCCAGGAAGCCCCAGTAGGTTCAGGAGGCCCCAGGAGGCCCCAGGCTCATGCACAGAGACGCGCTCGTACTACTGGGGCTCATTCACACTCCAATTCATTCGCAGTTAGATTGATGTCCAGACAGTCACAACTGAAGCCCGTTAATATTCGAAGGCTCTTGCGCCTAGACATTCACGGCGGACAGGTCCATGCGAGTAAAAGCACATATGGGGAGCTCCACGCAGTGAATAATTAAAACCATAGTTTCCGCGCGCGTAGTGGGTCATGGCGCGCCTGCCTGCCAAATTGCGAGGCCCGCGGCTGCAGTTTTATGAAAAACGTCAGGGGACCGACTTGTTATAAAACCCAACACATACATATTGCAAGTGTCTGAGCTGATGTTCAAGAAACTTTCTCCTCGTAAGCTCAGGCGGGCAACGCAGCGACCTGGGTTCGGTTTTAAAGTTGGTGATAAGAACCAATATTCCTCACGTGTAGAAGGTTCTGGCGTCTGCCTCTCAAATTATCAGGCGCGTAGCTGCAGTATTATATCAAAAGACGTGAGGGAAACGACTTGGCATATAACTGGAAAACTATTTGAGTATTTTCTCTAATATCCAAGGGAGCTTTAGATCTATTTTGCGCGTCAAGAGCGCTACGGGGGCCCCGGCGGCAATCTGGTTGACAGTTTATCGCCGGCCCCAGGTTGACCAACCCGGCCCGGGCGGACACTGTGGTGACCTG